AAGTTGTTTAAATATTTTGAACATATTTGCTCCTTGTGACCTTGGATATGATTCAAGGTCATCCATTTAAACAAACTTGGTAGCCCTTGATCCTAGTATGCTACTGACTAAATATCATCACCCTGGGCATTTTGGTTATTGAGAAGAAGTTGTTTAAAAGATTTTCACATATTTGACCCCTGTGACCTTGAATATGGTTGAAGGTCATTCATTTGAACAAACTTTGTAGCCCTTCATCTCAGCATGCTAATGGCCAAATATCATCACCCTGGGCATTTTGGTTATTCAGAAGAAGTTGTTTAAATATTTTGAACATATTTGCTCCTTGTGACCTTGGATATGATTCAAGGTCATCCATTTAAACAAACTTGGTAGCCCTTGATCCTAGTATGCTACTGACTAAATATCATCACCCTGGGCATTTTGGTTATTGAGAAGAAGTTGTTTAAAAGATTTTCACATATTTGACCCCTGTGACCTTGAATATGGTTGAAGGTCATTCATTTGAACAAACTTTGTAGCCCTTCATCTCAGCATGCTAATGGCCAAATATCATCACCCTGGGCATTTTGGTTATTCAGAAGAAGTTGTTTAAATATTTTGAACATATTTGCTCCTTGTGACCTTGGATATGATTCAAGGTCATCCATTTAAACAAACTTGGTAGCCCTTGATCCTAGTATGCTACTGACTAAATATCATCACCCTGGGCATTTTGGTTATTGAGAAGAAGTTGTTTAAAAGATTTTCACATATTTGACCCCTGTGACCTTGAATATGGTTGAAGGTCATTCATTTGAACAAACTTTGTAGCCCTTCATCTCAGCATGCTAATGGCCAAATATCATCACCCTGGGCATTTTTGTTATTCAGAAGAAGTTGTTTTAAGGATTTTTAAGACAATTGACCCCTGCGACCTTGAATATAATTGAAGGTCTTTCATTTGAACAAACTTGGTAGTCCTTCACCCAAGCATGCTACTGGCCATATATCATCACCCTGGGCATTTTGGTTATTCAGAAGAAGTTGTTTAAAGGATTTTTAAGACAATTGACCCCTGCGACCTTGAATATAATTGAAGGTCATTCATTTGAACAAACTTGGTAGTCCTTCACCCAAGCATGCTACTGGCCATATATCATCTCCCTGGGCAGTTTGGTTATCGAGAAAAGATGTTTTAAGTTTTTAACATATTTGATCCCAGTGACCTTGAAAATGGGTGAAGGTCATCTAATTTAACAAACTTGGTGCCCTTCATCCCAGTTTGCTTCTGGCCAAATATCATCACCCTCGGCCTTTCGGTTATAAAGAAGAAGTCGTTTAAAGTAAAATATTGACACCGGCTGCCGGATGGCAGACGGACGGACGGACGGACGAAGGACGCTGCGCCACGGCATAAGCTCACTTGGCACTTCGTGCCAGGTGAGCTAAAAAGGTGTACCACATGAATTTACATCAATTCTTGTGTAATGTCAATCAACATCACAGGGACAAATAACAATATAATGACAAAGGGCAATAACTCTGCAGGTTACCGTCAAATAATTACCGGACGAAGTTTCATTGAACTCCGTCAGCATTTATTCAAGTTATCGTGTTTACAAGGTCCAATTATAATATTATTACAAAGGGCAATAACTCTGTAAGTTACTGTCAAATAATTCCCAGTTTTGAACTCATCCGAGATCTTATTGATATAAAGCTAGATACAGAGTTTCAGCAAACTTGGTTGATATTTACTCAAGTTCTCGTGTTCACTAGGTCCAATAATAATATTATTACAAAGGGCAATAACTCTGTTAGTGACTGTCCAATATTTCCCATTTTCGAACTTGTCCTTTTGATATATGGCTGCATACAAAGTTTCATCAAACTCAGTTAACATTTACTCAAGATATCGTGTTATCAAGGAAAAGTTAACGCATGACGGACAAAAGACTTTCACAATAGGTTACCATGACCTATGGTCAGGTAACCTAAAAACAAAGGCTTACAATCACTTTTATACATTTAAGCAAGCAATGTGCACATAATTGAACAAATAAAAGGGTGGTATTTACATGATGTCTTTGCAAAGATTCTAAAAAGCAGACGCGAAGAGGTGAGTTTTGATGTCTCTCTTGAATTTGGCCAGGGTATTTGACTTTCTAATAGCAGATGGTAAGCTATTCCAAAATGTAGCCGAAACCCTCCCAAAGCATCTGTTTCCGAAGGTCACAGTATGAGATTTTGGGACACACAACAAAGATTCTGACTCCGACCGCAGTGATCGTGATGTGCTCTCTCTTTCGAGTACGAGTAACTAGCCGTGCTGCAGCATTTGTATTTTTCTGATGAATTTATCCAGACAATATTTTTTTGCAGCAACTAAACAGGTTTTTTTTTTTTAAACTGTCTTCTCTGAATTAATTCTATGGGATGTAAAGTTTGGTGAGAGTTACCTTCCAATTCAATGCCGTAACGGTGAGCCAGGTACATGGCGTTGTCTCCCACTTTTCCCCGGATTGGTATCCTCTCCCCACTCCTTGTTATATATACAATGTTTACTCTGAAAAACAAATAGACTTACTAAATCACTTTAATTACTGAATTATTGTACCATCTATTTCACTTGTCTTGTCCCTGGAAAACGCTAATATTAACCATCAAAACCTTATCAGGTGTAGAAATGCTTACCATAATATGGTGTAAATTAATGCTAAATTTACCCTAAATCTATTGAGGTTTTTATGAAATATCTTGTACATATTCTAAAGCTTTTTACTCTAAAAGAGATCAGGTTTGACCTTTGGCCCTTTAATCATGACCGACGATGACCATCAAAATCTATATCATCTGTAGGACTTTATAATGCTGTACTAGAGTGTAAATATATACACAAAATCTGTTAAGGATTTGTAAGATATCTTGTACACAACTTCCAAGATTGATATATTAATTATATCCAAACAAAGAAACTTCTCACAGGAATAATCAAAGTGATCAATTGATGACAATAGAATTATGTTCTTACACTTCATCCTCACTCTTTGGATCTTGCATTTCATAATCACCATGATACAGTGGACCTATAAAAAAAAACCAGAAAATAAAACATTTTAATTACAACTTGATTAAATACCTCTGCTAAGAACCAAGTCCCAATCATCGATTCAGTACAGGGTGTACAACAAGGGGAAATGTTCTTAAAAGTAGTATAATTGCTTCCACAAAATAATTCATAATGTAGTTACAAGGGACTTATTTTTGCTGGGTGCACTCCTGTGGTTGGTTACAAAAAGAACTTAAACATTTGTATTCTGTCAATGCTGTGACCCATAATTAACATAAGCAAATGTGCACAGGCATTTGTAACAAATCCAGGTGCTAGATCTAGGCATATCAACCTGTAGCATAAGGTTACCAGTTTCTGAACGAATTAGAGCAAAATGTAAACAGCAACATGTCTTATGTTGTTTATCAACAATATTATTTAACTTCGGCAATCAGTTGGCAATTGCTTTCTTTACGATGACAACAAGAAATCCCATAGTGATCATTAAAAAAAACCCATTATGCACCAGGCTTCTTCATGTATTTTATAGTACACACTGTGATACTGCTAAGGTCCAAAATATACAGAAATACATGTTTTGGGAAAAATGTTTTCAGACAATTTTGATGTTTTTACACTCATTTTGGATTGATCGCAGCCCATCTTCAAATGGTAAATCGTTACTGTTTGTGTATGTGACAAGACGTTTTCCCACAGGTACAGCAGTTGACTTGGTCCAATGTGTATACATTCTGTAATTTGACCAAATGCATTATGTATGTTAGGGTTGAGGCTAATTTTACTATTTTCTTTCATCATTGTCACACTCAGTCCTGCCATCTCATCAATTTGTCATGACAGAGTGACAGATTTTCAGTGAATTAAAAACGTAATATGTAGGTTTGTTTATTTGATGCATAGGTCATCTGTAAACTTACAATTGATTGTAAATAAATTACACTTGTATGACCGTAAGTCAACATTTTATGTTGAATAACATAAAATTCAACAATTTGAAACATAATGGACCTGGTTCATCTATAATGATTATCTTAAGCAGGGCTGTCACAATATATCGGAAAACAGGTATATCCCAATACACGGGTATATCGTACTGTACCACAATACAGATCGAGGTGAAATATTGCTGTGTCGCAATATTTTTTTGAAAGCTTATTTTTATGCATCTTATTCTGCTTGGTAATTTAACTTCGCAAATTACTATAAATTCTAACAGATATGCCAATAAGCATAAAACAGGCTTTTAATATAATACAAGAGGTCCAAGGGCCTTAGCGGTCACCTGAGTTATATCATAGGTACTGGTAGCTTTATTTTATTGTTTAGATGTGATGTGGAAATCAGCATGTAAACTAAGTGAAATATAATACTTGTCATGTCATCAAAGGATAATAATTTGAAAATATTGGTAAATGTTCCCTTTGGGGCCCCGCCCTAGCCCTAGCGCCTCGGGGTGGGACAGGAATCCCAATTTTACAATGTAATAGCCTCATTCACTAAAGATGATTCTGACTAAGTTTGAGTAATTTTCTGCTGAAAATGGATAAAATATACCCAAAAGTGTTATTTCCCTATATAAACTATTGTAAACTTTACCCCCTCCCCAAAGGAGAACGGATAGCTCGGGGTCCTGAAATTTACAATTAAAATAAAGCCCCTAATGATCTTTCTTTCCATGCGGAGAAAATGACTGTAGTACCTCTGAGGCTGGAGAAGAAGATTTTTGAAATATTGGTTAATTTTCCCTTTGGGGCCCCGCCCTGGCCATAGGGGTTGGGGTAGGAATCTCAATTTGAAAATTTGAAACTATCTTCTTTCAAGGCTAATTCTCATCAAGTAAAAATAATTTCCTACAGAAAGTAGTCAAAATATACCCAATAGTGTTATTTCACTATATAAACTATAGTAAACTTTACCTCCTCCCCAAGGGAGAACGGATAGCTCGGGGGTCATGAAATTTACAATTTAAGTAAAGCCCCTGATGATTTTTCTTTCCATGTAGAAACAAGAGGCCCAAGAGGGCCTGTATCGCTCACCTGAATATTTAAGCAGTCATAGCAAAATATTCTCATTAAATATTATATTGCACTATAAATATTTCCCTCGCAAACTTTGTTGGCTCCATCTGTTGAAACTACCAGCAAAATATTATTATAAGATTCTATGCTTTTTGATTCTTCTTCAGAAGTTGCTTGACATATTTTTCCCTGTGATCTTGTAAGTAGGTCAATGTCATTTTCCTTCTCAAATTGGTTAGCTCTATTCCAAAAAGCTACCAGCCAAATCTTATGAATCCATTCCTTTTAGTTCTCAAGAACAAATCCATTAAAATGTTGTTGACCTCTGTGACCTCTAAAGTAGGTTGAGGTCATTTTCATTTGCAAACTTTGGTGAGCTCTATCCCGGGAAGTCACCAGCCAAATATTATAATTTTATGCCTTTTAATTCTTCAGAAGAAGCTGTTTGAACTGTTTGACATATTTGAACGCTGTGACCTTGAAAGTAGGTCAAGGTCATTTTCATTCGCAAACTTTGTTTGGCTCTTTCCCAGGAAGCCACCTGCCAAATATTAAGATTTTATAACTACCAGTTCTTCAGAAGAAGTCGTTTAAAGTGTTTGACATATCTGTTTCATGTGACCTAAAAAGAAGGTCAAAGTCATTTTCATTCTCAAACTTTGTTCGGCTCTTTCCTAGGAAGCTACAAGCCAAACATAGAGATTCTATACCTTTCAGTTCTTCAGAAGAAGTCGTTTGAAGTGTTTGACACATTTGACCCCTGTGACCTTGAAAGAAGGTCAAGGTCATTTTCATTCTCAAACTTTGTTCGGCTCTTTCCTAGGAAGCTACAAGCCAAACATAGAGATTCTATACCTTTCAGTTCTTCAGAAGAAGTCATTTGAAGTGTTTGACATATATGACCCCTGTGACCTTGAAAACAGGTCAAGGTCATTTTCGTTCTCAAACTTTGTTGGGCTACATCCCAAGAAGCCTTCAGCCAAATAAGAAGATTCTATACCTTTTAATTCTTCAGAAGAAGTCGTTTGAAGTGTTTGACATATTTGACCCCTGTGACCTTGAAAACAGGACAAGGTCATTTTCGTTCTCAAAATTTGTTGGGCTACATCCCAAGAAGCCTTCAGCCAACTAAGAAGATTCTATACCTTTTAATTCTTCAGAAGAAGTCGTTTGAAGTGTTTGACATATTTGACCCCTGTGACCTTGAAAACAGGTCAAGGTCATTTTGGTTCTCAAACTTTGTTGGGCTCCATCCAAGGAAGCCATCAGCCAAATAAGAAGATTCTATACCTTTTAATTCTTCAGAAGAAGTCGTTTGAAGTGTTTGACACATTTGACCCCTGTGACCTTGAAAGAAGGTCAAGGTCATTTTCATTCTCAAACTTTGTTGGGCTCCTACTAACGAAGCTTTCAGCCAAATATCATGACTCTAGGCCTGTCCGTTCTTCAGAAGAAGTTGTTTAAAGGAAAAGTTGACCGACGGACGACGGACGGACGACGGACGCCGCGCCACGGCATAAGCTCACTTGGCACTTCGTGCCAGGTGAGCTAAAAATGACTGCAGTACCTCTGAGTCTGGAGAATAAGATTTTGAAATATTGGTTAATTTTCCCTTTGGGGCCCCGCCCTGGCCCCAGGGGTTGGGGTAGGAATCCCAATTTTACAATTTTGTAGCCTCATCTTCCAAGGATGATTGTGACCAAGTTTGAAAAATATCCATCCACTGGTTCTTGAGAAAAATTTGAAAATGTAAAAAGTTTACGCACGACGGACGATGACGGATGGAAAGCGATTAAATAGGTCACTTGAGCAAAGCTCAGGTGACCTAATAAACTTTATTTATTTTAAAACAATTACGAAACAAGTTATTTCAACTTATATTAATTACTCTTGTTGGCCCGGATGTTAGCGCGTGGGGGTCTTAGTGTGGGAGGAAACCGGAGTACCCTGAGAAAATCCATGTGTTTGGGCAGGTGACCCCAACCTTTTCACGTCCGATCGGGGATTCGAACCCCCGGCCACCTTGGTGAAAGGCAAGTGCGCTATACACTGCACCACCTGACCACCCTTGTGGTGGGAATTAGTTCAAAATTTTGTAATCGATAGTTGGTTTGACAAAAATCTTAAATCTATGTGATCCATATTATATATGATTAAGTTTGATAACATTCTGACAACAACTTATCATAAAATCGAGCACATCTTTCCTTCGACAATATATCGGGATACGTATCGTAATGTATTCATTCTGTATTGCAGTATATCGTAATACACTCTTAGCGTATTGTGACACCCCTAATGTTAAGTCAACTGTACTATCTAAGGGAAACGACTTTTGTCACATCCACAAACATAATAGGTTCCCGAACATCAAAGAGGTGGTTGCAAAGATTTACTGTTCAGAGATTAGATACGATCAATCTGGAATGGCTGTATCTGTTCCATTTTTAAATGATGAGAAAGTGTCTGGCGACGCCATCATACTTAATGGCATTGCCTGTGGGAAAGCCAGGCAAATCAGACAACATACATATGACAGTCAATGGTACAGTTTTGTTGCCAAAGAAGACAATGACGAGTTTGGGCATATATAATTATATATTGAAAAGTTTGATTATTTCTATTGTCTTTATGGTAACAGGTCATCTCGGCACTTGGAGAGTTCAGCACTGACGGTTCGAGACACCTTGGCACTTTTTCGGTTCACCTCAGCATTTTCAATGGGACACCTCGGCACTTGTTTTTTTATTTTGGTACTTTTCATATTAAATTTATAAAACAACAATTGATTTTATGTTGTTGTGTTAACATGTTCAAAAGATGTACGTGTAAAGAATGGACTTCTATTGTCATTCTTGTTTATTTTAAATTTTTAACAAGAGGCCCAGAGGGCCTGTATCGCTCACCTGGATACCTAAGCAATCATGGCAAACTATTCTCCAAATGAGATCAAGGGAATATGCTAGACCCCAAGGCCAAACCTTGTAGCATAGCTATATAAGATTTTTCATGCCCAGCAATTTTATGTATGGTTATGGGGTGGGGATCTCAACTGTTTCCAAGCTTTGACTCAGAAACTAGGTCCCTAGAGTTGTGGCCAGACCCCAGGATCGATTCTAATATCGTGACTGCATTTGTCTCTTTTTGCCAAGCATTTGTATATATAGTTTTGGGGTGGGGATCTCAACCGTTTCAAAGTTATGACCCAGGGGCCAAGTCTGCAAGGGTGGGGCAGACCCTGGGA